GCTGAGAAGGAGCTGATGACAGCTGCCAGGAAAATTGCAGAGATTTCCAAATTCCACATCCACAAACAACACACTTGCTTCAGAGATGTTTTTACATTTAGGGCCCTGCCTCTGCTGCTCTCGTCCTCACTCTGTCTGGCTTTTTATGGACGGGCTTCGACCGCGCCTCACACTGTGGCCGGCATTTGTGCTACCAGCGGAAACTCAGTGGCAGTGAAGTGTCACTCGTGGCACGTGGGAGGATTAGCCTTACATTGCTGCTGCAGCATCACAGCTATGGAAGGACTATGATGGAAGGGTAGCATTTCTACCTAATATTTTTGTCTTTTGTACTACAAAACAAAGGAATACTAAACATTCAAGAAATCACGCTTATGCGGACTTTCAGTATCTACGGGGATGCTTTCACTTACTGAATCCAACATTTTGATTTCATGCATTAAACAGCAGCAAGATTCTCACGTAGCAGTCATCATCTGGTCAGACAGTTTTCCATACATTATTTGTGAAAAGTAAAATGTTGGTATTTTATTAAGAAGCATGTGGAAATAATTATTTTAGCTGTTTAGCTCAATTCACTCTTATCCTTGGTAGCACCCTCTGCTGTACCCCAGATTTAACTGCAGCCAACGTCTGCACAACACGATTAACAGGAAGACGGTAATGGGTGTATTTCATTTAGCTGCTGGTACTGTGCATTATTCAGTGGAACTTAGTAAGACGTCATTATGACAATGATTTAGAGGATTGTTTAGAGAAACACACCCATGCAAAAGTCTAACTAAATGAAATCAATACTATATATATTTACTATACACATGTAGAGTGAATGTGTGCAGCTGGAGTCTGCTTAGCATTGCAGAAAGCTGAAGCAACTGACAGCAAACCTCCAGAAAGTTACAGTTTCTGGCTAACAAATAATCTGGCACAAAACCATTAAAACAAATCATTGTTTTAAACACAAAATGTAGTTAGTGAGCTTTTGATGAGCTTTAGATGTGTTGGAGGCTTTGTTTAAAGCCAGGCTTTAAACAAAGCCTGCTTTGTTTGCAGTTCCTGAGAGCAGTCGTACATTAAGGGAACAGTTAAGAGAGGGCTCAATCTTCTCAATGAGCTTCCACAGTATTGCAATCCAATCTCATTTTGAGTATAGATTATTAGTTGTTGCCAGGAAAATTGCTTCTGATGTGTTAGTAGTGTGCAGTAAGGTTTGAACATGCAGGATCCACGGCTCCATTCAAGGGTTTAAGGGTTTAAACTCTACTAAATGTAGTTAAACAGTTACCCTTAAAATATGCCGCAACTTTATTTACAATTTAGACACAATTTGAATTCCCTTTTCTTGAGGACAAAATGACTTGCTGTTCAAACCTTCTGTTTACGAGGGGCAGCCAATCAGAAGACGGCTAGGTTAAAGGGAAGGGGGTGGACACAGGATTAACTGAGGGTCTGCACCAAGATCCATCATAGGTTAAATAAGGATTATTTTAAACTGTGACCCATACTAAGCTACTCTAGTAGAGCCCGAGATTAAAAACATGGCGCTGGAAATGACCATAATAGATCTGCTTTGAGTAATCTAAACAACAAAGCTGAGTTACTATAAAAAACGAAGCTTCAGGCAGTGGATATTTGCCCTAATATTTCTACTTATAATATTAGTCTATTTTTAATATGTTACTAATATTACAAATTAGAAGCAGTAGTAGTAACAAGCAACAGTAGCAGTGTGCTTGTAATACCAGTTGGAGTAATCTTTTTGTTTGTGTTATTCAGTTTTGGGT